GAGCCAGAATCACATCAAGCTTCTGGTCCACCCATGTCTGTCTCCAAACATCATGAATCCGTTGGCGAGCCACATGCAACGCCTTTATAGTCTCAAACGGTCCTATACCTTGCTGAGCAGGGAACGGGCCAGAGAACATCGGCCCCGCAGCCTTAGCAACCGAAGTTACAACGGGCTCCCCACTGGCCGAAACAAGATCCTTGTGCGGGCCGTAGTTGAAATACTGAAACGCAACACGTGACGCATATGCCAAACTCTGTGCTTCATCGTCACTACCAATTCGGACGACATGATGTCCTGTGCGCGTCAAGGCCTCAAACGCCCGATTTAGAGCCCTCTTTACAGGCGGATGGAGCGGGAAATGCTTATCCTCAGCAAGCATGCCGATGGTCAAGCTTTTGCTGGCGTTGATACCAAGCGGGATGGTTTGCCACGGGACTCCAACGGCAGCAGAGTCATACTTCCACGCCTGGCCATCAGCGACGATGGAACCAATCAGCAGCTTGATATCGGCGATGTTATGTGCCAGAGGACCTGCGGCTGGAATCAAGTTTGGAATCCCCTGCACGGCGCCGGAGACCTGTCCGCCGTAGGGTATACGGTTGCTTGTTGGCTTAAAGCCGTATACACCGCAGCATAGCGCGGGAATGCGAATCGAGCCACCGATGTCAGTCCCCATGCCCAAAATTGACCCCCGGAATGCTATTAGTGCACCCTCGCCGCCGCTAGATCCACCCGCTGTTAGGGTTGTCTTGTGTGGATTAAGGGTGCGGCCGAAGATGTTATTATCCGAGTCTGCTGTCTGGGTGATTATTAGATTCACTTATTGAGCATATTCCGAGTCATTTGGTGTTTTTTACCATCATTGTCTGTGGGATGTTCGTCTTCACGTATAACACCGCGCCAAGCTGTAGCAGCATCTCCACTAGCGCGGAGTTCGTCTTCGCGGGCTCATTCTCGAGAAATGCGACATATCCTATGGTTGAGTGCACACCGTCGACGCAGAAACTGTCTTTGATGCTGATGGGCAGGCCATGTAGCGCACCAACGGGCTTTCCCTCCCGCTGGAGGTACTGATCCAGGTACTTGGCGCGCTCTAGCGCCTGGGGGAAGAAGGTCTCTGTGAGACATGAGGTCTACACAAAACATATATTAAGACCACTGCTCCTTTATCCTTTCAGGGATGCGCTGTACTCACAACCTGCTGCGCAATAGCAGCCCGCTTACAAAATGCCGTTGTGACAGCCAACGAACTGATGTGCCCCGATGCCAGCCTGTCCAACAGCTGAATTGCGGTATAACTTTCTGTCAGATCTAATTCGATATCGGAGAGCAGATTACTGCGACGAGGAAGATCAATATCCAGTAGACGAGGGGTTTCCTGCGCGAGCGCCAGCTGGTCTGTGCTGAGAAGCCAGTCTCGGGGTATTTTCTGCTCGCATTCATGGTGTTTGGCAGCGACGAGGACTTGCCAGCTGCTGGGGTGTGCTTTGGATGTCATTTTAGAGGTGGGGTAGATGTGGTTTCACGTTTGTGACTTTATGGCTATCTTCCTTTTTATGTACGTTCTATGTACTTTATTGCTCGGCTGCGATACGATGTAACCACCTCCGCTTTTTTCACTTATCTTGGTTTCCCACATGGCTTGGTGATGCTTGAGTGTCTCTATCTGCCGATTCGAGGTAGTTCGGGGTCTGAACGAGTCTGCGATAGCACTCGGGTTGTACAACCACATCGCTTCATTTTCATTTCTACTATTCTTGCATGGTAATTTTATCAAATATTAGAAAGATAATGACGTAGAGTGAATGGCATCTATAATAGACTCTAAAGTCTCCAACTCTCTAGCCGGCAATGCAACCCTCTGTATGCTGTCATTTATTCAAGCCCCTCTCCAACCTCAAATTAACTTTATTGGTTGTATTTACTTGACCACCATCTCTTAAAATTGCTCAAATAAAACACATCGATCCAGGTATTCCCAGATCGAACATCAAGTCACATTATTAACCGATTCAGCTAACCGTACGAACCGGCTTAAATTTAATGCGAAATGTAACAAGACCTCGGCCTCTTCCCAAGTTACTATCACAGGCGTAGGAATTCCCTGGACCTCGGGACGGGCTTGGCATGACTTGTTCCTAGACCGGGGCGGTATAGGCCGTGAGCGCGGATGTAGAGGTATTGACTGTCGGATATACGATGTAGCAGGCATATAGAGCTACTTTGAGATGCGAGATGATAAGCTTCTTGAGATTGAGAACCTGGACAAGAAAAAGAACGGGGATTCCTGATGTGTGTTCCCTTCGCCACCGCTGCCCAGTCTGTGCCTCTTGGGGTAGCAAATATAGAATGAGAGTTAGATACAAAACCGGAAAAAAAAGCTAGCTAGTGAGTGTACCCTAACGATACCCGTAATTTCCATGATCTTTATGGTTTCAGATCTGTTCTAAAAATCCCCACAATCAACGACCAGGTTGACCCACCAGCGCCTTATCTTGAACTCTATCAGGTGGGGCATATGCAGGTGCTCAGGTGGTATCCACGGATAGGAAAACCTTGAAAAGAGATTACCTCATTATGGGAGTAAATAGTTAGGTGTATTAGCATGGTAAGTCCACCTCGGTACTGTTGTAGGTACCAGGGTAGGCAAATCCAAAGGTTGCTACTTCTGTTTTGCGATCTAATAGTGGGCCTGACTACTTCAGCCTCGTTTTTTTGTTTTCTTTTTTATTCCTCTCACCTATCTTCTCGATCTCGTCTAAGACTTGGGGAGTGTTGTCATCTACTACTCTTGCTCCTTGCGAGCTACTTATTCTCTACCACATATCTCTCTTCTTTTCCTCTCTATTGTGGCTCAGACGTTTCAGCAACCATGCCTTTTGCTACAGATATTTTGACAGACCCTTCAGTTTCAACCTCTGCTAGACAGCAAGCTCTCAAGCGCATCTACTCTGACCCAGGTCTCCCCCAAAGTTCGACGACCTCGTCGTTCTGGACTCTAAACCCACACAACTTCAGCCAGGGAGCTACAAAGCATCTGCGCAAGGAAGCAGATATTGTCATCATCGGATCTGGTATTACTGGAGCATCTATTGCGCGGAACTTGCTCCAGAACTGCGCTTCGCAGCACTCTTCTACCTCCCACCCATCCATTGTCATGCTCGAAGCTCGCACAGTGTGCAGCGGCGCAACCGGCCGCAATGGCGGTCACATCCTGGAGACAGCCGACGAGTACAGCAGATTCGCCGATGTCCTTGGCGTGGATGCCGCGCGTAAGCTTATCCGCTTCCGATTGGCGCATCTCCGGGAGATTCTCACTGTCGCAGAGGAGCTTGGCATCACGGCAGAGACGCAAGCACGAAAGGTTCGGTTCCTGAGCATCTATTTCCGCGATAAACCTTGGAAGACAGCTTTAGAGCGGATGCACCGTTTCAAGGAGGAAATGCCGGAGGAAGCTGCTGAATGGACATCTTATGAGGGGGACAATATCCCGAAGGTAAGTTGATCATTCATACCGAACGCCCCAAGTGCCGCTGCTAATGTCGTTTCTAGGAATTATGTTTGACTCGTGCCCGAGGCGTCATCGCCGGCCCCGCAGGCGCCCTCTGGCCCTACAAATTCGTCACCGGCATCCTCACGCGTCTGCTTGCGGACTTCCCGGATCACTTCCACGTCGAGGAAAACACCGCCGTGACCGCTATACACGATGAAACTACCGCCAACAGCCAACGATACAAAGTCAAGACAAGCAGAGGCACCATAACCACTCGGCACGTCATTCACTGCACCAATGCCCATGTCAGCCACCTTGTACCCGGATTTCGGGGCCGAATCTTCCCCGTTCGCGGCCAAATGTCCGCGCAGACCCCCGGCGACAATTTCCCCAATCAGGCAGAGGATCATTCGTGGCTCTTCAACTACGACCGCGGGTTCGACTACATGACCCAGCTGCCGGAGGGACAGATGATGCTCGGCGGAGGCTTCGTGCAGAGCGAGGACGGCGGCCTAGCGGACCTGGGCGTCTCAACAGACTCTGATCTTAGTCTTTACATTGATATCCACTTGTCTGGGGCTCTGCGTGCCATCTTTGGAAGCAAAGACTGGGGCTGTGTGCAAGGCGACTCAGTGCAAGCGATGTGGACTGGCAGTATGGCTTTCAGCTCTGATGGGTTCCCGTGGGTAGGACGGTTGCCTGGAGCTGTGACAGGTCGGGCTGAGCATGGGTCTGAGGGGGCAGAGTGGGTTTGTGCTGCGTTTGGTGGGGACGGAATGGTTCAGGCTTGGCTTGGTGGTAAGGCGGTGGCAACTATGTTGCTCGCCCAGGATCCTTCCCTGGGTGAAACTGTCAGTTCGGATCTCTCGTGGTTCCCTGAGCAGCTGCTTGTGTCGGAGGAGAGATTTGCTGAGGCGGCGTTGCCGAAAGGGGTTGGTGATGACGTGTACAAGGCGAGTCTTTAAATTGCCTCTTACGCATACATTTGTTCATCTGACTACGTAGATTCTTTTTCTCGGCCTATTACCTTTCCTAGTTGAACAAAAGCACATTGCAATAATATTCTTAGTCCTGTCGTGTATGAGTTAGGGTTAGGGGTTTTCTCATATTCCTGCTCTCTCCTTCAGATCAGGCTTCCATGTTCTAAACCAGGAATAAATGTGAAACCTATGACCAACGGACATTGACGAAATTGGAGTGCCTTGTACTATGTACCATATCAAGGAATCCTAAAGCTACTGCAATGTATCATCTCGTACAACTTCAGTAATCTCTTCGAAAAGACATACAATGCCGCAACTTCATGGCCATGAATGGTAAAAATCCATATCATTCAAGTTATCCAATGAAAGATCTAACCATCAAATACCCAATTCGCAACATATCCCGGGGGACATAGCCCAATATCACCCGGCCTTAATTCAGGCAACCAAATTACACCTAGGAAGTCCCCGTCGCCAAAAAAAAAAACACGCAGGCAAAATCCACTTAAACATGCGACAAATTAATCCGTCAACCAGCATAGCCATGCTTCACAATATCGCGATATCGGCCTGCCAATGCGCGCCGACCAGACTTGCCCCAAGACCATTGGGATAATCGTCCCAGTAATGACTAGATTCAGCATCCCACACGCGATGAACATATTTTGTATGCCGTTGCGTTGGATCCATGGATATATCGCGAATGGAATGGCAATACCGACCGCGTTGTGCATGAATGCCACAGCGGTGAAAGCATCACCAGTGATCTAGAAGTGGGCGTTAGTAAGAACGGCTCACTTGAAACAAAAGAAGTATCATGTATATCGAAATGAGATAATCATACCTCTCTGTAACTGTCCATGACTAGCACCAATGCAGCATCACTAATACTGCCTAGACCAAATCCGAAAAAGGCACCTGCAATATTGGGCCAGATCCAGCCCAAATGGGAACTTGGCTTTTAATGTCGTTACCTACCCTAGAAATCGTCGCACCGAACATGATAAGGCCACCTGTCATGAAAATTGCTGGAAGGTGTAAGATATACAACCTCATTTCTGGTTCGTAATAACCCCTGTTTCGTTTTGCGTAGTACAAAATCGACCGATCACCAAGGAACCCGCCGTATACTGCACCGATAATGTTTCAGACCAGGGGACCAGCGCTAGTGTATCCGATTTGCGCAGGTGAGAAGAGGTATGGCGGCGCTGGGAATGTGAGTGACAAGACGCTGGAAGTTACCGTCAGCCAGGCTATTCCAGCCGCGTATTGAAACGCAGCAAATGCCACAGCGGGAAAGATAAGCACGCAGAAGGGGCGGTAGAAGTGCGGCCAGATTGGTTCTGGTGTTGGCGTTACCAGGGCAAGGCGTTTGCGCCAGGAGTTCCGCGGTATAGTGAGGTCCAGCACATGGTGAGAACGAGTATGTTCAGTGATAGAAGGGCCCTTGGCGGAAGACCCCGAGTCAAAATTGTCCGAACCATCTTCTCTGATTGAGACCCGTTGATCAACTTCTTCAACGGTAGCACGGGCTTGCCCAATAAACACAGAGACAAATTTTGTTTCCTCGTAGATGAAGAGGAAGAGGACGAAAAGGACACCATTGAAGATTCCCATTATTTGATAAGAAGAGCGCCAGCCATACTGTGTAGCTTGTGCCCCTGCAGCCATGGGGGTCAAGAAGCTCTATACGTGCTTTCATCAGGTACCTGCATAAATCTCCAGGCTATTTGGTTGAGAGACTTACACCAATCATGACACATGTCAGGTATAGTCCATTCATACTCCCCCGATCATGCACGAAGAATAAGTCGGCAATCTGTACAACATTAACAGGACACCTTACTATCGGCCCAAAGACATAGCTCACTGTTATCTCTGCTATCGACTCGTTGGTTGCACCAGCTAAACCTTGCAGTAAGCTAGTCAAGTACAGCTCTGTCAAACTGTTCATTTTAGATGTCCAAAATGACGTAGTCAACATTAGTGCTGTTGAGACGATATAAACTGGCCGTCGGCCGTACTTTTTCGCAAAGGGGATAAAGAAGATGCAACCAGTTGTGAGACCGACGAAATTTACCGACATGGCTTTGTTCAATTCGGTATAGGTGACTTCCAGGTCAACGGTCATCTGCTGCCAAAAGATGGCTTGGATCGATAACCTGAGATGGGAGCAATGTTACCAGTCTAGCCCATCTGAGATGATTGTCCTCCTCATTTACGCCGTGAAGATAACAATTGTCATAGCCAACACAATTGTGAAGTTGACTGATTTTCGCATGGTGCTCCAGTTCTATCCATATGCGTTGGGATTAGCTCAATCAGGGAGATATGGATCCAGTACCGACTCACTAGAGGTACATTCGGGTCAGACGAGGGAATCGGATAGAGAAGGACCATGCATTGCCCATCCTCATCTTCCGCGTCGTCTGGATCAGGATAGCTGTCAATAAACACTCCAATCTAGGAGAAAAGAGGTCTCACCTCCAATCAGTTTAAATGTGCCCGGAGGTTGGTCTATTTCATCCTCAAAAGAGGATACAGCGTGGAACCTATCCATCTCGTGAACTGTAGACGTGCGTAGAGTTGAAGAATATGTTCCAGAGATAATGATGTGTGCCAGACTGCCAGACTCCAGTGTACCAGTGTGCCAACGGAGATTTAGATCTCGACTGCTCTTGAAATACGTGACCAAACCCTTGATATATAGCCAAATCCCTTTTACTTGGAAGGTCCAGTAGTGACTGCACTGATATTCTTTACCCCAGTGCCGCCAATACCTCCTATTTGAGAATGCAGGTGGATCGATAAGCCATGTATTCTGTGATCCGGATATTATCCAAGAGTTTCACATCCATTGGAGATGCGGAGAGAAAGGGCCTTGAGGTACAATGGGCTATGGTCAAATGGATGATGGAGGTCTGTTATCTTCTGCTGTTCCTTTCGGACCTTCCGTGGTTGCAGGTGAGTGAGTATCTGTTGCGTCAGACTTCCTCATTGGGAATAGCGTGCGTTTGTATTGGTCTTAGGGTCATGAAAAGGAGATTTTTATGAATGGACTGGAGAGAGGTGTTTGATTGTACTAATGTACGTTTCATTAGAAAGAAAATTGCTGTAGAATTCAGAAGTAGAGAACCGAGTCCTGCATTATGTCGGATGCCGTCGGATCCAGGGCAAACGGCCCAGAGCCAATTAGGGCTGCGCGCCAGAGCCATATACAGGCTACCATAGAATATCGGAAGCAGGAACACTCTATTTGGTTAACCAGACTGTCGCTTATTAATTCTCTGGGCCGTATCGTGAATATGGCTTGTTTGCAAGTTGTGGCGGTTTGACTTACACCAGCACATGGTAACAAGGTACGAAGCGCTATCTTTTGTTCTGTTGGCGCGATCCTCTTAACATTTTGAAATGCTCGGCAGACATGAAGCCAGTTTGAAGTTATCGGAGGCAGGCCACTCCCGAAAAAAGTTATGTTGCCGTGAGGTTGTTGCTATGCATCCTTCACTGCAATCACGAGGACTGGGCGTGGGTGCGATTAAATGGATATCGAAACAAGTTCACAACAACCCGTTCTATTTTGTATATGCCCAGGAGGAAAGCGTGAGGTCATACGACAGCTTCGGATTTCGAGTTTCCGAAGTGGTTCAACAGGTTGGTGCCACTGATCAAACTGGAGAGTATATTCAAGCATTGGATGATGGTGCGGCTGGGAAATTCAACGCTGTAGATCTCCAATATCGTAAGACACAAGTGGATTCAGTCTCTGCTCCTTTATGTCCTCTTTAAGGTACCTATACCGATGATCCCACTTAGCAACTAACCCAAGTATTTCATAGTCAGATTGACATATAACTGTGGGGAATTTATTATATTCATATAAATCGTATCAATTTCTCCGGACTTTTGTCGATCTCAATCAATGATGCTAGGCGAGAAATATTCTGGAAGCATAATTTTCCGGATTTGCTTCATGCAAAATGGAATGACACTTTTGCGAAATCAAATAATGACGTGAAACATCGAGGTATCGTATTAGCTGGCCGAAGAAGCCGAAGAAGATATTTACTTCGGTGTAGACTTCCATATTGGAACTAGGGTGTCTCGGACATTCGGCATATTCGGAGACACTTTCTTGCCGGCTTCGTCATTTTCAGAACCATTGTTTTTCTTTTGTATCGGTGGAGTACAGCCACTGCAGATCAACCGTCGCGTCAAATAAACATGTTTCTTCAGCGATGCCGCGCGGCGCATGTCGAAGCCCGACAGACAGCCATTGGTCTCTCCTACAGTGTGGATATCGGTAAGTACCAGTCACATTCAGGGGCAGTTCCATCTCCAGGCAAGCATTCTCCAACATGAGCTCCACATGGGCTTAGCCTATAGTCCGCGTAATTCTCGATTCTACATGAAACTATTTTGAGTAGGGCTAGATCGATATCCATGGACTATATATAAGGTCTTGCTGATCACCCCTTAGTTAATTTGTACCTCGCATAACAGTCAATCGAGAACATCTTCAAGGTTCCAATGTTGACCTTCCTTTCTATTCTCCTTGCCACCCCGGCCTTCGCCGCGGCGGCCATTTTCCCCGTCATCCAAAGTAACTATGGACCGGTCAAGGGTGCAGCATCGCCTTTCCGGGACGGCGTAACTGTCTACAAGGGCATTCCTTATGCCGCACCTCCCACCGGGTCGAAGCGTTGGACTCCTCCCACCAAGCCCGACTCATGGACCGAGACACTCAACGCAACTGAGTTCGGTCCTCAGTGTGCCCAGCCATACTCCGACGCTGGTATTTTCTCTTCTGGGAAGAATTCAACCAGTGAGGACTGTTTGACCCTGAACATCTGGACCCCTACCTACAACACCACCTCCGCTACTGAGATTAAGAACAAAAACCTCCCTGTCTACGTTTGGATCTTCGGCGGCCGTTTCGAAGGAGGCTCCGGAGATGTCATCACCTATGATGGAACCGGTCTTGCGTCCAAAGATATCATTGTTGTGACTTTGAACTACCGCCTCGGTGCCTTTGGCTTCCTTGCTCACCCTGACCTATCTACTGAGTCTGGACACAATAGCTCTGGAAATTACGGTATTTTGGACCAGCAGTTTGCTCTCCGCTGGGTTCAAGACAACATTGCCCACTTTGGTGGAAACGCCAGCCAAGTCACCGTTGGCGGCCAATCTGCAGGATCTGCTAGTGCATTGGACATGATGTGGAGTCCTCTCAGTCGCGGTTTGATTCACGGTGTTATTTCCGAAAGCGGTGCTCGTGGACCTCATGACCCTGCCACTGGTGGTGTTGCTACCAGCTACAACACCAAAGCCGTTGCTGAGGCCTTTGGTGTCACTTTCCTGAAGACCATGAACGTCTCGTCGATTGCCGAGCTTCGCAAGCTCCCTATGGCTGACCTTATCGGAGAGGGCCAGTTGATGGAAGACGACTACTTTGAAGGCACTGCCTTCTCTGACCTCTTGTCCGGACCTCCCCGCTGGCGTCCCGTTATTGACGGCTATGTGCTCCGTCACGGATACGGCGAATCTTTGGAGCTGAACGCCCACGCCGATGTGCCCATCATGACTGGTAACAACAAGAACGAGAACGATGGAGGCGCCTCTACCGTTTCCACTTACAAGACCTTGTGGACAAAGGTGTTCGGTAACTACTCCGCCGAGTTCTTCTCTCTCTACCCTGCCAAGACAGACACCCAGGCCAGCGCTAATAGCGATGCTGTACTGCTCGATATGGCCCGTGTTGGAACTTGGGAATGGGCCGCCGAATGGGCTGCCGGTGGTGCAAAGAAAGATGTCTTCGTGTACTACTTCACCACGTCTCCTGCAGAGGGTTCGGGTGGCGCATACCACGGTGCTGAGCTCTGGTACGCTTTCAATAACATTCCTTACTCGGACTACTCCAATGTCACTTGGAATGCCACCGATTACAAGATTGAATCGGTTATATCTGAGTACTGGGCCAACTTTATCCGCACGGGTAACCCCAACGGAGATGGGTTAGTTCACTTCCCTGCGTCTTCCAGCAACTACACTGCTATGCAACTCGGCGACTCCTTTGGTGCGGTTCCAATCGCCGCGTCGAAGAAGCGCATCGCCTTCCTCCGTCGCTGGATGTCCACTTTGCACGAGTACTAAACTGGGCAACTTTCACTGTTGATACTAGCGTTCTGCCATGTGAGACAGGATTTTTGTTATATAGGTTCTTTGTAAGTACTTATGGTCAACACATTCTATCGCCATTGGCAAGACTCTGTCTTGCGGCTGATGTTATTTTAAGATGAACAGTAAGGGGCATTAAGCAGTCTTGAGGACATATTGAGATTCCGATGCAAGGACAGCATTAGCCCAGTGTCAGCATCTTTACAACAGTCTTACATGTGTGACGATATATTCCGACGACATGTGGAAAGTCTACTCATAGTAACTAGTTACATGTATGTACATATATAATGACTGTAGTTCATATTGATAGATATACGGAGTAGAAGTAGAGCAAATCCAAAAAAGAATACAAAAACAGTAACTTTCAGTAACTTTCAGTAATTTTCAATCGGGAAGAGGCTAGTCCTGATTAGGAAGGGATGTGCTCCACCTGCGGGTACCTGCGGGACCCCTTTACGGCGTTCTGCGGCGTTCCTGCCGGAGTTTTACGATCTCCCCGAAGAAGAACGCAACCCCGACGGAGATCTGCAATCTGCAACTCCACATTTATATCCGAGTCTCCTACCTAAGTTTGAAACGAGTGCTCACTAAAGACGCAGATTATACCCAAACTGTACATAATCATCACTATCCTTTTCGGATAAGGAAACATGGAGGGCAGATCGTTGCTCAGCGGCCGCGTATCATCATCTCCTAGGAGCATTTCCATGTCTCAATATATTAGGAAAGGTAACATTGCCTATGTAGCAATCGAGCTCACAATCTTTCTCTTCAGTCTTTAGTTTTTGTCTGTCGCTTTAGTTTATCTCATTCATTCATTCTTTTATACCTGCCATGAAGCTGCTTTCCACACTCGCTAGTGTCGCAGCCTGCGGCTCGTCCATCGCCTCTGCCCTAAGCCCCCCGGTTATCGACACTCACTACGGTACAATCCATGGCGGACTCTCACCCTTCCGTGGAGGTGATAAAGCCTTCGTTTACAAGGGCATTCCTTATGCACAGCCTCCTACAGGTGCAAACCGTTGGACAAAGGTTGCCGGTCCATCGAAATGGGGCACGCTGAATGCGACCGAATTCGGACCACAATGCGCGCAAACAATCAGCGATGCTGGCATCTTCTCCAGTGGCAAGACCACAACAAGTGAGGACTGTCTTTACCTCAATGTTTGGACTCCAGCCTACAAGAACCAGACCAATATGTCCGCCAAGAAGCTGCCGGTGCTTTTCTGGATTTATGGAGGCCGATTCACCGGTGGTTCCGGTGATGTCAAGACATACGATGGCACTGGCCTGGCACAAAAGGACATCATCGTTGTGACCTTAAATTACCGTTTAGGGCCATTTGGATACCTCGCCCACCCTGAACTTACTGCTGAATCA